TGGAGGCAACCTATTTTTCTTCCAGAAAGTACTTTTTGCATCCTTTCTGATGAGATATTGTAAACTGCTCTGCTGTAAATGCTTTGTGAAAATACTATGTAAGAATATCATGTGATAGAATGAGTTAAACAGAATGTGTTGGCTTAGTTAACTTAGGTAATTGTTAGGATCATATTCACAGTAAGATGCCTAAGTTACTGGAACAGTGTGAGTGATATAGTTTACAAAAAAAAAAATGGAATTTTTAGTTCATACAATAATGTTCAATATTATTGTTTTCAATCAGCAGAAATAAAAGAAAGCGGGGGCAGATTTAGTGAGAACTATTACTAGTTATATCTAGAGAACTTTAGTATAAGATTTATTAAAGTGTTAAGAGATGTGTGCATAGCTTAATAGCATTAAATTAGTTAATTAATCCACTCTTAGTTTAACCTTTGCAACGAATTGTGTATACTTTGTACAGACTTTAATTTTATTTTAATTTTGTTATATTTTTGCACAGCCCCTAAGTCACTGAGCTTTAATTTTAATCATGCTTAAAAAAAGGTTTCCTCTCTGTCTATTTGTCTGTCTGTCTGTCCAATCTCCCACTCATGCAGACAAATCTTCAAATCTCCTGGTTATGCAGGAGAATGCATACAAGTGTAGAATGTCCTTTCATATTGATTTAGGTTGATTTCAAAGCGAATTTGGCATGCTTGTAAGTAAACTGAGTTTTGTAGTAGAATAAAATTCAGAGATTTCCATAAGATTCCAATTTTCATGAGTCTAAGTTTCATTTGGAGTTCGAATTAGAATTTCAAGTTTGAGTTTGAATTGTATTGTACATATACGTTACGGTTAGAGATTTCTGAATTTCTAAGCAAAGCCTTGACATTACATCATAAGGAAGAACCTGCAACTATATTATACCAATTTAGAATCTGATCTATGCATATACATAGATGGCATAAATTATACAGCTGTACTACATGTAGCTGCATAAATATAATTATATTGTTACCATCATTATCCACAAGATTATGAAAGTTTAAAATTACCAGAGTAATGTGTAGTATTAATCAGGTTAACTAGTATCAATCAGGCTAAAAATAGTAACTTTTACAAAACACATACCACATTCAAGTTGATACCTAACTCCAATATCTTTCCACTCTTAGGGAGTTGCAATGGCACTGTTAAAAAGATCAATATATACTGGCGCTTATATGTTTCACAGTGTGCAGAGAGGTTTTCATCTCTGAAGGTGAATCTTTGATTTTATTCTCACCATACATAGTCGTCGTGTATATGGTAGTTAATATAAGCCCTTCTACAATTATGTGAACATAAGGAACGTACATGTATGCACATGACGTTATGGCAGCCATATTGGTGTTCCAAAACAATGAAACAGTGGCCATGCTGGTGTACCAGACCAATCCTGGGGGAGTTCAACTCTTTTCTTTCGTAAACACTTACGAAAGTTTATCACCACTCACTTATTTCTTAGTGATTGCATCACAATGGACTGAAACATTGGCTCTTACCTGTAGTGCTTACTTTCCCTTGATTTGTAATCACAATACTTTTTTGTTGAAAGTTAGAACGAGCTCTTTCTGTCACCTCCCCACCTCACCCCACCCCACCCCACTTCATCCTTGGCTGAATAGGGCCAAGCCTGTGCTCTAAGCAAAATTTAAAGGTTCCCAAGGGTTCTTATGTAGGAAATCTTGGGTGCCCAGTTCTTACAAGCTTTCATAAGAATGAAGTTAAACAAGTCGCCCAAAGGCAAAGCTTAGTCGCCTGAGGCACCCGGGCTCTGCTAGACCACAGCCCTGAGGCCTAAGAGGGTTTAATCTATGGTATGTTTACTTGTTTCTTTTATATTTAGGACAGTGATCAGGATTACTTACAATATCTGTGGAAGGATCCTCCTAAGGAGTTTTCAGCTTATTCACTAACTGGAAAGCAGGATGAAGTGAACTGCAAACCCAGGATTCACCTGTCGGTATGCATGTGCTACTTTTTTATCTTTTTAAATTAAATACAATAACAAGGTATAAGTCAAGACAGTAAACACTAGGGCAGGGTTGTTCGAAAGCAGTTTAACGCTAACCCAGGATTGAAAGTTGACCAAAGGATTAATTTTTCTTGAATAAAAATGTTTTTGACTTCTTATGTTTTGTGTATTTTAAGATTACTCAGACAAGCTCTAAACCAAAGGACAAGAAATGTGAAAAGAAAACGTCACCAAAAAGTTACAAATCAAATTCTCACAAATCCTGGGTGAACATAATTGGGCATTGAACAACCTGGCCCAGGAGTGCCAAATCAATAAGATTTACACTGTATGTAGGTGGCTCCTCAGATTTTGCCCCGACATTTAGCAGAAGATAGGCCATGGCCATAACAAGTTCCTCTTGTGGTCCAAATTTTTACACCATGCAGCCGCACTAAGTCAGTGTCCATAGTATTTGTCTGTTTATCCATTGGTGGGTTTACAAGACTAAGTTCCTTCCCAAGTCACTTTCTCTTTCTCCACATCGTTATACAGTGGTATGTTTCTCTCTTTCCAATCTAGTGGACTCGTGTTGAAATCAGAGTCCTTGTGTTTTTTTTCCTTAAGTTTGGGAACTGAATCATTAGTAAGGCTAATCAGAATGCTACTTAG